CTCATGGGGACAGGCAGAGGGGTCCCTCCAGCACCCCAATTTAAAAAAGGGGGGTGTGCATGATATGGGTGAGAGAGGAACCCAAACATCCCATGGGAAACCCAAGAGGAACCCTGAGCACCCCAAATTTCAAGAAGGGGTCACCGAGCATGACATGGGRCACCCAGCACCCCAAGTGGGACCCCAGCACCTCAATTTGAAGGGTGGGACTCCCATGGAAAACAGAAGGGGCTCTGAGCAGTTTCAAGAGCGGGGTACCCCACATCCTCTGAGAAAGAACGGGGTCCCCAGCACCTCAGTTTTGAGGGTGAGACTCCCAGCACCCCATGGAAAACAGAAAGGGACCCTGAAGCACCCCAATTTCATCAAGGGGGGTACCCAGCACCTTCTGGGCAACAACGGGGTCCCCAGCACTTTGATTTCAAGGGTGACACTTCCAGCACCCCATGGATCAAACGGGAACCCTGAGCACCCCAATTTCAAGAGCGGGCTCCCAGCACGATCCCCAGCACTTCAGTTTCAAGGCTGGGATCCCCAGCACCCCAAGGAAAACTGAGGGGGCCCTGAGCACCCCAATTTCAAGAGGAGGTTCCCAGCATGATCCCCAGCATCTCAGTTTCAAGGCTGGGACTTCCAGCACCCCATGGATCAAACGAGAACTCTGAGCATCCCAATTTCAAGAGGGGATTCCCAGCACCCTATCGGGGTCCTCAGCACCTCAGCTTTAAGGCTCGGACTCCCAGAACCCCAAGGAAAACTAAGGGGGCTCTGAGCACCCCAATTTCAAGAGGGGGCTCTCAGGACCTCAGTTTCAAGGCTGGAACTCCCAGCACCCCAAACGGGTGCCCTGAGCATCCCAATTTCAAGAGGGGTCCCCCATCACCTCAGCAGTGTCCCCAACACCCCAATTCCCCCCTCAGCACTCCCATCACCCCCAGGACACCCCAGAACCCCCCCAAACCCCGGGGTGAAGCGCTGCACCCCATAAAGAACCCACACAGCCCTTCGCCCCTATTTTAATCGGGGAGGGGGTCCCGAGGARGGGGTTTCTGACCTGTAGAAGAGCACGTTGAGGGGGATGGTCCCGATGTGCCAGAGCGCGTGGGCGTCCAGCACCCAGAGCAGGGGAGGGAAATCGAGGAGCTCGAGCAGCGCCAGCGCCTGCAGCAGCAGCACCGCGGCCGCGCATTTCCACACGTGCGGGAGGCGCCGGCCCTGGCGCAGGCACCACCGCAGCCACCACGCCACCGTCAGCATTCCTGGGAAAACGGCACCGGGAGAGGGGCAGGGGTGAGGGGAGGGAGGCAGGACACCGGTCAGAGTTCGTGGGGAAATTGTGGGGGGAGGAGGGATAGGGGGATGCTTGAATACTGGTCAGAATTTGTGGGGAAATAGGGAGTTAAGGGACAGGGGAGTGTCCAAACCCTGATCAAAATTCCTGGGAAAACTGGGGGAATCAGGGACAGGGGAATATCCAACCCCAGTCAGAATTCCTTGTGATTATCAGGGACAGAGGAGGTGCCCAAACCCCGGTCAGAATTTGTGGGAAAATAGGGGGTTAAGGGACA